CCCAGACAATGTGAAAAATCTTTCAAATGTGCTGAATCTTAAGAACATGCTCGTTATTCCAGTTTACATCATCGCCGCTGGCCCAGCTTTTGACAATGAGACGAGAAAAGCTGACGAACCTCTTCAGTACATGGTCGTGACAGATGCTAACCGCTTGTCGCTTATGGTTTACTCCCGAGACCCACACATCTTCTTCCAGGTAAGACCTTTGCCTGGTTTGTCAGTTTAGGACAATTCTACACGTGTTTTGCTCGTAAATTCCCACCAGTAAGGTCAACAATCAGCATCTCTTCCTCGATTGCAAAGTGGGAAAATCAAGTTTCTAGGACCGATGTAATGACCGCGCTGACCCGCTCTCCCGTAACTTCCTTTGCACCCCCTTACGCAACGGGCTCGTTGACAGCGTCGTAGAATGCGCACAGAAGGAAAAAATCTAGGTCATAGCGTGAAATTTAGACGGTTGCATAACGTTCAGTGACCCAAAGTCAGAAACTTTACGCGACGAAAACGAAAATCTGGGCTAGTGACACCAATTTGGGTGCATAATGCGCATGTGATCTCACAACGTAGAAAAACTAGAAAACGAGAAGTTAGCTAAATCTGATTATGTTTTTTGTAGAAGTACAATAAGGATGTCCTCGAATTTATGGAGAAGAAAGGTTTCGGAGGTCGAGTGTTTTGGAATAGCCCACGTCCAATTTATCAGGGACCAGACTGTGAATGGCCATCGGAAAAGGAAGTGTTTGCTCGAAGGTGAGATATGATCGACAATTTAGTTCTTTCTCTTCCCTAATGGGAAATAGTTTTTCCAAAGTATCTTATAAGTTACATAAGAAACGACAATGCTTGTAAACCAGATAGTGTCCAGTTTTGAAAGTTCAAGGACAAACAAAGATTTATGGAGCACCTTACTTCCTTGGAAAGAAACATCTTGAATTTTTTCCTTGATTAAGTTCAATGGCTGGCAGTTTGATCGCTACAAGTTTTTGAGTCCTGTCTCCACTTTGTTTCCTGTTACCTTAGATAGCCCAAAAAGTAGTCATAATAAGTCTGCTAAAAATTCCTCCTTCGGTGTTTGATTTTATGTCATTTCAGAGTCTTGAAAAACCAAGAACTAGCCGAGCGAAGCAAAAACGGTACAGCCGAGCCAACAATGTCCGGCATGCCTTTGGCGGACATGTTGCGTGATCCAAAGAAGACTCTCGAGCGGCTGGTCGGCACTCAAGGTCACTGAATCTCACCCCCGTCTCTACTCGCCACGACTCACTGACCTCGTTTCGCCGGGTTGAT